TTTTTTTTTTGTTTTCTTTGAAAGTTCAATCTCTATTCATAATATTTTCTTAATAATTTTTACAAAAAATATATATTTAAAAAAAATTTTGATTTTAATATTATAAAAAATAAATTGATCATTATTGAAGCATTATTTAAACAAAGTTAAATATAAAATATATTAATTCTTTTATAAAGATATAAACCCAAATGATAAAAATTTTTATTTTTTTGAATAGATTAAAAGGCATTTAAATATATAGACAAAATATTATAATCTTGGAAATATAGTACAAAATTATTACTATTTAAAATTTTAAGCTATCCTTATAGAGGAAGTATTTCTTCATTTTAGCATAAAAAAATTATCTTTTATTTTGTATTAAGTTCATTATAAATAATTTTTTTAAAACTATATTTATTATTCTTTCGAATGACCGATTATTTAAAAAAAAAAAAAAAAAATTTTTAAATATTTGAATATAAGAACTTTGTTGTAAATATAAATATGAATATTCATTTAAAATAATATTATTTCTATGTGAATAAGTGCATATTATTTTAGGCTTAAATTACTTATCCTTTTTATATATACCCATAATATTTTAATAAATAATTTTCGTTAAATTTAAGAAAAAAAGTTCTTAAGCTTAAAATATTAACAAAAAAAAAAAAAAAAAATTTTTTTTATAACATAAAATCTTTAATAATGAAAGGTATATATAATAAAATTATGAACAAATATTAATATGAAATTTAATAAAAATGCGTATTGATTAGGTTACGATTTATTTTTTTAAATTTTTATATTAATTTATTAAAACTTATTTAAAATTTAGTAACTTCTCTTTTCAACTTAATAAAATGAATAATTTTTTTAATTCACTCTTTTGTAATTTAAATATATAATTAGAAAAATTTTCTTATTAAGATGTTCATTTGTAATAATATGAAACAATTTTTTGTAACATTATTTTTTAAGGTATAGTTTTATTTATAAGGAAAATTAGAAAATGGACACAAAAAACTCATTTAATAAAGATGAAAATGTAACATATAAAAATTTTCTTGAAGATATTTTGAGAACATTTAAAATTAGTAATGAAACAATAAAAACAGAAGAAAATATATTTAATTATACTAAAGTAAATGACAACTTAAAAAAAAAATATAGTATAAAAAATAATGAAGATGAAAAAATATATTCTCATCCCAATAAATCTAAGTATAAACTAATAAACTATATAAATCATATTAAATATAATTTGTCTATTAAGAAATATTTTAAAATGTTAGTTACTGTATCTTTTTTAAATTATCTACCTTTACATTTACGCAATATATCAAATAATGTTTATATATGTGGAATGCAGTTAAACCTTAAAGATTCAGAATTATTTAAAATTTTTCTAATTTTAAGTAAATCAAAAATATTGTTCACTTACAGATCAAACATCCTTTTAAAAATTAATAATGGTAACAATTGTTTTAATGATAATAATAATAGTCTTAATAATAACAGTAATAATTACAAAGACATTAATAAAAATGATATTAATGACATTTGCGGAATATATAAAAATATTAAAGAATTTGAAAAAGTAAAGGGTAAATGTAGAAAAAAAAAAAAAAAAAAAAAATATTATAAGGAAATTACAATAAATTTTACAGATATACCAGAACATTTTTTAAAAAAAATTTATTTTGATGATAAAGAATGTTTTTATATAAATTTCGAAAGAACATCAAAATATAACACTAATAACTTGTTTGATAAAGATAATTATAGTGATAACAACATGAGTAGCTATTTTTACTATGATAACAATATACATAATAACATTTTAGGAAATGAAGTCAATGAAAACATATCTGTATTTAGCACAAATGATAGCAGTAATAGCATTTTATTTGTAGATAATTTTGAAAGTGATTTTGATGAAAATGAAGAGAATAAAAAAAATATTGAATTTTTATATTGTTATGATGATAAAAAAATAAAAGATGCTAACAGTAACAACACTAGTATTAGTGGTAGCAGTAATAACAATAGTTCCTCTAAATCCAAAAACTATAAAATAAACAATGATCTCATAAATAATGTAAATAAAAATAATAAACAAAATGAAAATAATAGAACATCTCAAGACTACAGCAATTATGAAGTAAATAAAGAAAAGAAAAATAATAAATTAAAAAGTATGCATTTTAATGAGGAAAAAAAATGTTCTGAAAACTTTAAAGTTAAAAAAAAAAAATATACGAAAATTATAAAAAAAAAAAAAAAAAGGTGGACAAAATATTATGATAACTTAAAATATATTCACATAAGTGACAATGGATGGGGGTGTATGTTAAGAGTAGTTCAAATGGTTTTAGCAAATATATTAATAAGCTACAAAATATCAAGGAAATATGTTTTGTTTCATAATTCTAATGATTATTTACTTTATAAGAATTTTCTGAAAAATTTTCATAGCAGTAAAAATGTAAATAAAAATAACAGTATAATTATTCAGAAAGAAAACATACAAACTACTTTCTCTTTTGTTAAAAAATTGAAAGAAAGTAATATGACAGAAAAGAAAAAAATAAATTTTAATAAAAAATTAAAATGTGATAAATTATACGAGAAGGAAATGAAGGAATCAGGTTTTGTGGTAAGAAAAATACGATCAAATATATTTGATAATAATGAAAACAAATCTTTAATAAATAGAAATAATAAAAATTTATCTGAGCAATTAAATTATATATCAAATAAAAGTGTTAATTTTTTAATAGATAAAAAAAAAGCGGAAATATATGAAAATAAAGTGAAAAAAAATATATCTAAAGATATTTATATGTATAAAAAAAATGATAGAATGAAAAATTATGTTTACCATCATTTTAAGTCTTATGAAAACTTTTTAAATAGCACTGATGACAATATTAAAAACATTCATTTAAATAACTCATTAATATATCCTATATTGTTACAATTTAGAGATATAGAAACAGCTAAATATTCCATACAAAATATTATTTATGAAATAATGAAGTACAAAAAAATTGATGAAAGCGAAATGGAGCATTTTGTTCATGAATGGATGGGGCCTACAAGTAGCGCGGTGATTATATCAAATTTAATTAATAAAAAAAAAGTTCGTTTTGTGAAAAAAAGAAAAAAAAAAACTGTAAATCATAAAAAAAATATATTAGAAAATGATTTAGTAAATAAAAATAATTCCTTTAAAAAAAAAAATTCGAATTTTGAAAATTCTAATGAAAAGCTTGCAAAATTAATATTCATGAGAAAAAAAAATAGACAAGCATTTTTTTCTGTAGCATTTGAAACAGGTGTAATATATAACAGTAAAGTTTTAAAATTTTTTCAAATAAAACAGAAAATATCCATAATAATATGGATTTGCCTTAAATTAGGCGTCGATTCTATAAATGTTTCAAAATATAAGAAATCTATATTATCATGTTTTCTTTTAAAACAATTTCAAGGAATTAGCAGCGGTAATATTCATACTAGTGCTCATTATTTTTATTCAGCAAACGAAAACGGCCTTTTTTATCTCGATCCTCATATAAAATGTCAAAATGCTTTTAAAAGTATAAATAAAAATTTTACATCAGAATTTTTTACTCATAAAATAAAATTTTTGCCATGGGAATATTTAAATTCATCAGTTTCTCTCATATTTGTTGTGGATGTAAGAATCAATATATATATATATATATATTTATATATATAACTTAAAAATGAAAACATTAATTATATGCACATTAAATTAAATAATAGATTAAAAAAAATTACAAAATATTTATATTCTTTATACTTAAATATATATATAATTATATATCCATAGATATTATATTCTCTTATTATTCATTGTAAGATTTAAAATTTTTTATTATAATAATATTAGATAATACAACATATATAATTTTTCTTATTTATATTTAGTCGAAAGATGACTATTTTAATCTAGTTGAAAATTTAAAATTAATTGATCCAAGTATATTTGAAATTTATAATGAAGAACCTCAATATACCTTTAAAAACAGTATTTTTAAATAAAATAATTTAAAATTCCCCCAATGAGCATTATCATTTTATAATTATTTTTATGTTTATTTATTTATAGAATTAAGCTTTGACACAGACGATTCAGGGTTAGTAGTTTTGTAATATATTTTTGATATTTAAAAATATTTTTAAATGTTCCTAAATTATATTTTAAGTAGGAATTCATAAGCAATATATACATGAATAATTAATTTATTTTATTTTTTGTATATATTATTTCATCATCTATACAATAAATATATATATTATTTTTTATATATTATTTTACACCATTATTTTAGGTATATAAAGGATCCAAAAGTGTAGTTTCTTTTATAATTTTTGTTAATTTCCTATTATATATTTAAATGAACCAATATACTTTGTTTGATTTTTTTTTTTTTAAAAATAAGGAGGTTTATCCTTTTATTTTAACAGTTGTCAAAAATATAAATTTTATTAAATTTTATGTTTGCTTTTTTACTTTTATTTCGTTATTTTTTTGAAATTTAAGTTTTTAGTTTTATGTAAAAAAAATAAAATAAAATAAAATAAATGAAGTTAATTCTGAATATTAAACACATTTTTTTTATGTTATTTTTTTATAAATGTTTATTAATCTTGATAATAAAAAATGAAAAATGTTAATATTTTGTAGAAACAATATTTTGCTATATTTTATATAAAAAAAAATTGTACATATAATATTTTTGTCAGGAGGTATAAATTTTTTTTTTTTTTTTTTGAATTTTCACTGCTTATTTTTGTCAAACTTTTTTTATGTTTTTATTTGTAATATATGTTTATTTTTTTTACTATTTTTTTTTACAGTTTTTTTTTACTGTTTTTCTTTTTTGTATTTTCTTTTATTTAAATTTATTTTATCATACCTTTATTGGATAAAGATTTTTTTTTTTAATTATTCACTAAACATTTTTTTTTAATATTTTTATTAAATGAAAAATTTAATAACATAATTTTTAACTCCTATGTAAATTTTATTTTGTGGAAACTTCCATAAAAATTTAAGTAACATATACATCTGAAAATGTATAATAAAGTTTTCAATAATTTTATAAAAAAAAATGTTTTTTTAATGAAAATTATTTATAATATATATTTTTAATTAATTTGTATACTTTTTTTAAACTGATTTGCTAATTCTGTGTGTGTGTATATATGTGTGTGTGTGTTACAAATGTAGTTAGATGATTTAGTATTAAAAATTAGGACAATTTTTTATAGACATGCAAAATAATAATAAATAATATAAATATAAAATAGAAGTTTATTATTTGAATTGAATGAAAATTAATAAGTTTGTATATTTATCGTATACATATTATTTGAATTAATTTAATTTACCCCAATTTTTTTTTTTTAATTTAAAAAAACTAAATTAAATATACAATGATCATTCTTAAAATTATTGAAAATATTAGTTTAATTTTGTAAAAAATAAAGTTATTTGAATTATTTAAAGAAATTATATTGATTCTGTACACTTCAAAAAAAAAAAAAATTCATTTTGGTTCTTTTACATAATGTTGTATTCTACATACGTAAAAATAAAATTAAGTTAAAAAAAAATTCTTTTGATATGAAAAATTATTGCAAATTTAATAAAAAATAAAGTAATATTTAAAAAAAAAAAAAAAGAAAAAAGAAAAAAAAAAAGTACAAATAAATGTATATTATCATACTCTTAAAGGTGTTGTTTATTTGAAAAAAAAATATTTGTGGTGATCTTAGAAAAAACACATTTTAGATAGAACAATTAGAAAATTATAAAAATATATAATATTCACTATATAAATATTTATGAAAATTATAGAAAAATAAAAAAATTAAAAAAATATTGCTAGACAATGATAATTAAAAGATATGGATGATTTAGAATCACAAGCATTAGAAAATATCCATGATTACTTGAAGGAATGCTTGGATAAAAATAATTATAATACAAAAGGAAAAGAAGAAAACAATGTAGATAATATATCATTAATTTACATGTCCTTAAAAAAATATATATTAAGATTAATAAATATTAATAATTTTATTAAACAAGAAAACTTTTTTTTGAAAAAAAAAAATGAAACGTTAATTAAAGAAAATAATGAAAAAAATATATTAAAAGTCACTAATAATAAAAAAGGGATGCATAAAATATATATGGACAAAATAAATGAATTGAATAATGAAAATGAGTTTATTAAATATAAATTTCAAAAAATATTGAGGGAACATATTTCCTTAGCAAGAGACAACGTTCATTTGAATAACTCATTATTAGATAGACATAATTACATTTTAAATGATAATTTCAAAAATAAAAGTATTACATTGAAAAATGATAATTCAGATAAATCACTTAACATGTCCAAATTTTACGAAGGTGAAAACAGTACTGAAGATGATAATTTAAATTATTTGAATATGAATTTATTTTCTTTTGAAAAAAAATTTGAAAGAATTTGTAAATGTGCAAATTTTTTGGAAGATATATTGAATATCCTTAACAGAAGTATCAAATATGATGAATCAGTGATATTTCAAAAAAAAGTAGAGAATTTAAAAATAGAAAAAGAAGAATTGATAATGCAAAATTTATTTTTAAAAGAAAAAGTTTTAGAAATTGAAACTTTTATTTTAAATGATCCTTTTTTAGTAGAAAAATTTAATTTTTTCTATGATTCAAAAAATATAAGTTTTGATGAATCAATAAAAAACAACTTTAAATTATTTAAAAACAACAATAAACATATGCTATATCTTGGCTTATGCTCAATGGAAAAAAAAAATATCTATTTAAAAGAAAAGTTATCAAATGAAAAAAAGGAAAATCAAATATATAGGGAATATATTCACAGTGTAAATGATAAACTAAAAAAAGATTTAACAGAATTATATAAATTAGATGGTAATAAAAATATTAGTTATAATAATTCTACGGAAATTTGTAATACTAATAATTACCAAAATATTAATGAAAACACATTCTATTTTAATTTTTATGATACTAAAACTAAAAATAATGGTTTTGCAAGTAACAAAACAAAAAATATATGGAATCTTAATAATGAATTATCTAAAATGAATGACTCAAGATTTTCTGGTATGTTTAAAATGACAGGAAACAAAATTGATTATAACCAGAAAAGATTAACATATGCATGGAAAAGAATTAAAGAGTTAGAAGAGGAACTTAATGATCTAAAAGTATGCTTCAATAAATAAAAAAAAAAAATAAAATAAAATAAAAATAAAACAGATTTTACATCATGATTGTTAATATAATTATTTGTTTTTCTATTTCTTTATATAAATACATATATTTCATATTTGTTCTTTTTAAATAATTTATTATATAAATATTACATATAATTGCATATTATGTAAAACTTTACACATTTCTGAATATCGAAAATTTTAATATGCAATATATATTTATATATCCTCTCTTGACTTTATTCATATAAATTATACAATATGTTATTTCATTTCTCATTTTTTATGTTTAACCTATGTAATATATTTTGAATTTAATGTTTTAAATTTAGTGTTTTAATATAATATTTAATTCACTTATATATATATATATTTAAAAACAATGAAATATATTACTACGAAAATTTAAATTATTTTGTTTTATTTTTTTTTTTTTTTCCATTTAATATTTTTATGTACGAATAGTATTAGTAATTAATTTCATATTTAATAGCTATAGTTTTTGTTTAAAGTTATCCTTAATTTTTATGGTATAATTAAATTATAACTGTTTCATTAAAGTCTACTTCATTAATTGACGTATTTTTATTTTTTTTTTATTTAAAATTTTAATTGTATTTTTTATTAATGTGTATATATAATTTATTGACCTATGTAATTATAAAGCATTAATTAATAAAATATAAATTTGTATTTTATTTAGTTGTTAATGAATTAAACTAAAATTTTGTATTTTTAATTTACAATATAATAAAATAAATATTTTTCTTCTTAGAGATTTTTAAAATATTAAACTTATTAACCCTTCTGATTTTTTTTTTTTTTTTTTTTCTCTTTATGTTGTAAATTATTAGATTTGTTCATTTTATTTTTAATTTTGAATCAACCAAGCAATTTTATAAACAAATAACTTAGGAATGTTAAAAATAATGTAATTATTTAAAAAATCATAAGTATTGTGTATTTTATTTTATTTTTGTTAAGAATATGTATATATATAATTATGTTGTTATAATTAATAAAAAGAAAATAAGAAAATTAGTATTATGATAAAGTATTATGCATAAAATACTATTTTGTGATAAATAAAAACACAAGTTATCAAATTACTTTTTTTTTATCCTAATCTATAAGTCTATAAATATATGTTTTTTTTTTTTTTTTTTTTTTTATTTTATAAGATAATTTTCATATTTCTATAATTGTTTTTTGAGAATAATGTGTTCTTTATAGAAAAAAATATTCATATGCTATAGAACAAAAAAAAAAAATTTTATTGTAATAAATTAGAAATCATAATACTTTTATTTATAATATATAATTCATTTTCTTTTTTTTTTAATTAGGAAAGAAAAAAGGAAAGCAATTTAAAACAACATAAAGAGGATAGCTTGTTGGAAGAATTAGATGATTACATGAAAAATGAAGCGTATTACTACAGAATAAAAGAGTTAATAATTAAAAGAAAAAAACAATTGGATGCAATTTTAAAAACAGAAGCTAATGAAAAAAATAACAAAATAAATAAATTTAGTGCTGTAAATTATCATTTAGAGAGAAATTATATGAACAATAGAAGATTATTAAATGAATATCTGAAAAATAGAGAAAATATTTTATCTTTAGACAGCCATTGTTCAAATGAAAAAAATAATTACAATTATTATATTAATAATAGAATTATTTATCAATATATGGAATATAAACGCATGTATGACTTTTATATGCAAAATAAGAAAATATTAAAAAAAAATGTAAATAATAAAGACCTTAATAATATAGTGAACAAATATGCGTCATATTACGAAAATATTGATAAGCGGCATAATAATCTTAGTATGCTTCCTAATGGAATAAATAATGAATCTATGAAATTACTTCAAAAAATAATTGAATCGAGAAAATTTTTAAAAGAATGTAGTAACAATCTATATAATAAAGAAGAAAATGAAAATGGAAAAAATCTATATGTAAATAAAAAAGAATCTCAATTTCATGATTATATTTTAGATAATAATAACCAAAGTCATAAGAATAATTCTAAAGATGAAAACGAAAAAAATAATCATAAAGACAGTAAAATGAAAAATAGAAATGAAAGTAGAAGTTATGAAAATTTAAATGATATATCATTGAATGAAAATAAAATATACGAAAGTATTTCTGAAAAGGATCATATTGGAAAAATGAAGAAATACAATAAGGAATATAACTTGTCTAACAAAAATGAAAACAGTAATATTAATTTAAAAGATAATTATAATGTGCATGAGAATTCAGAAAATTTTGATTCCAATGTAAAATATCCAAGAAGACACGATTCTTCTCTTGAGGTTTTAAAAAAAAATATAAGAAATCTCGTGAAAAATAAAAAGGTGAAGAAAGAGAAAAGTAAATATGAAAAAAAACGAATAGACTTAAAATTAAGTAAATCATTATCAATATATAAAACAAATAAAAATTACAATAATACAAATTCTTTAGAAAACTGCAATAATATCTCCAATTTCATTGAAAAGGGAAGCCAAAGTAGCACAAAATATAATATACAAAATAATGAATTTGAGATAGAACCAATGGAAAAGAAAATAATAGCAACGAAAAAGAAAGAAGAAATTAAAAAAAGTGAAGATAGTGTAGATAATAATAATATAAACATTCAATGTAAAAAAGGTTTAGATAATATGCATGAAACTAAAAAAGAAAATATTACAAATAATGATAAATTAGATATTGTAGACAAGATTAAAGGAAAAAAAGAAATAAAAAATGAAAGTGAATTAAATACTACAGAAGAAATTAAAAAAAAAGTAAATATTACACATAAAGATAATTCATATATTATAGATAATATCAAAAATAAAGAAAATATTAAAAGTGAAAACAAATTAGACCTTAAAAATGTAACTAAAAAAGATATAAATGTTAAAAATAAAAATAAATTAGATATTAAAAGTGAAATTAAAAAGAATAAAAACGATAAAAATAAAAACGAATTACCTTCTAAAGATGAAATTAAAAATAATAAAACTGTTAAAAAAAAAAATAAATTGGATGCTGAAGATGAAATTAAAAATAATAAAAACGATAAAAATAAAAACAAATTACCTTCTAAAGATGAAATTAAAAATGATAAAAACGATAAAAATAAAAACAAATTACCTTCTAAAGATGAAATTAAAAATAATAAAAATAGTTCAAATATAAATGTAATTGAAAAAAATGATAAAGTTAAATATGATAATGATGATAAAAAAAACAAAGAAAATATTGTAAAAGAAAATGAAAACTCAAGTTTCACAAATAATAATTCTTTTGATATAAAAAATAATAATAAAGAAAAACATTTAGGTAAAAAAGAAAATTTTGACTTAATTGACAATACTGAATCAGAATATGAATCTTCTGTGCAAGACTTTTTTGATATTAAAAAATATTCTAATGTAAAAATTGGATTATTTAGAGAAATACTTTATAGTCATGATAAAAATATATACACCTTTTTTATGAATTTGATTGCTTTTAGTAAAATTGATTTAATCAAAACATACAAAAACAGATTAATTAATGTACAGATTAACTCTAGTGATATGTTGCAGTACGTTTTAAATAATTATACAAGGTATAATATGAATACAGAAGAGAAGGAAAAAAAAATAAATCCTAAGGATTTAAGCGAAAATGAATATAAACTTGTTATTGATTATATATGTAATAACGACAATGCATTTTCATTAAAAATACTATATCATAAAATTAATTTTATATCTAATGAAGACTATAATGAATTTAAAAATAGGTTATTAGAATGTGGTATTATTAATTTAATTAACTTACTTCATGATGAAGATATAAATAATTACGATAAAATATTCAATGTTTCTTTTGTTAATTTTTGTGATATTCTTGGAATATCTAAAGAATCTTGCACATTTCATTTTAATTGCATTGATAATAGCAATAAAAAAAAAGGATATATTTACTTAAAGAGTTTACTTAATTACTTAAAAGTAGAAGAAGATATTAAGGAGGAATATCATAAATATAATTTTATTTCCATTTATAAAAAGAATCTAATATATATAAATATTAATGAAAATTTTGATAATTTATATAAATTTTTTAAAGCTATAATTAAAAAAAATAAGAACTTCATTAGTTTGAATGAATTAGTATATTTTTTTTATGAAGATGAAAAACTAAAAAGATATAATTTTCCTCAAGATGATATAGTAAGTTTATATTATTCTATAATTTTTTATGTATATTATACCAACAAAAATAAAATTTTACAAAGTGTAAATAATTTTAAAGATTATGATAAGAACATTGCAAATAATTCTGATAAGGATGATATGAAAGAAAAGAATAAAAATAAAATAATAGATCCTTATGCAAAAGTCAAAAATAAAAATTATAAAGGGGACATTACTTCGGATTCTAGCTATAATTATGTGAATTATAATTTATTATTATGTAAGGAGCATTTTAGTTTAGATGATTTTAATTTTGTCATTGAATTAAAAGATTTATATTTTTATTTTGAAGGATATGAATGCCCATTTTCTAAAATTAAAAGAAGAATTATAGAAATATATGGTTCTTTGAAGAAGGCAGTACTCATAAATAAAGAAATTGTTAATTATAATAATGAAAAAAATAATTCTGATAGTGATGATACACAAAGTAAATGTGATTTGGACTCTGATCATTTTTATACAACAGATAAATATAGATATATGCATTCGGAAAAAATTACCTTTTATGAAAGAAAAACGTCTTATAAGGAAGAAGATATAGAAATAAATAAAATAAATAAAATAAATAAAAGTGTTTTTATGTGTTTAATGTATAATATAGGAATTCATATAGATCACTGTCAAAGTCTATGGGATAATTTTGTTCCATTTTTAGAAGGCGATATGTTGGATTATAAAATTTTTAATGGTTTTCTAAATGGAAAAATTAACATAAAGGGTAATGAAACAGAAGACATTATAAGAAATATAAAAATTAATTCTATGGAAAGCGAAGAAATACATACAGAAAGTAATGGAAGACTTACGAATAGGTTAAAGGGAACAATATGTTCTCAGCATTTTAAAAATTTCAGAGAAAAGAATTTTATAAATAATTTAACTGTTGATGAAATAGAGGTAGTTGCCCAAGTTTTGAATGGTGTTCATCCATTTAATTATTTAGATAAAAATGAAAAAAAAGAATTCATAAAAAAATTGAATAAAAAGTGCTATCAAAAAGATTATGATTTAGAATTATTACATGAAAAGATAGGTCAAAATAAGGAACAGTCAGAAACAGGAAACAACAAATTACCAGATGAAACTTATCTCAATAATAAAATAACAATTCTAATAAATGGAATATTAAGACACAAAAAAGATGCAAATACCTTTATAAATAGCGTTAATATAATAAGTGAAGATAATATTTATAATTACATAGCACATACTAATATTGCTATAATAGAAATTGATAATACTTTTTATACTAGCGAATTCAACAATTTAGTAAAACAAAAAATTTTAGTATCTCAAGAATTTATGAAAATTGTTGATGATATACCAATTTTAAAAAATTTTCCTTACGAAAAAAAGTATAGTTTATCTATGAATATCAAAAGATATGAATTTGAAAAAAAGAGAGTAATAATAAGACAACATGATGATCCTGTAAGTTTTTATATAGTAAAGGAAGGCACATTAAATATTTATTTTAATAATACAGATAAACCTATTAACACGATATCACAAAATACTTTTTTTGGAGAAATAGCTTTAATATTCAATACTTTAAGAACATGTAATGTAATTGTAGAATCAGATACTGCCATTTGTTATTGTATTTCTAAAGAGTACTTTTTATCTATATTGAATAAAGATATAGTAAATGAATTCATAGAATATTTTCGTTCTAATTATAAAGATGATGTTGAAAAAATGATTAGAAATTCTGCATATAATTATGAAAGAAACTCAAATAATAAATTAAATAATAAAAATGAGAAAGAATCAAAAAATGAATTCACAGAGCACCCTAAAAAAAATGAAAAAAATATTAGTAGAAGGAATAATGATAGCCTTAGTACAAGAACTTTAAGCCAAATAAAAGAAATAAATTCAAGTGATACTAATACCATATATTCAAAAAATGGTTGTTTATCTAAAAGTTTTAACAATTTAATTGATGAAAATAATAAAAGTTGTGTTAATTCTTTAAAAAGTAGAAATCAATATTCCATCAACAGTGCAAATAGTAAGATTTTGTCAAACAGCTTATCAGCTGATAATGTTTCTTTAGATTTAGATTATATTAATAAAAAATATTTACAATCATTTTACAGTGATTTAGATAAAATTCTTTTAAATATTTTTAACACTGAGCAAAAATATTTTACTGAAGAAATGGAAAAGAATTTAATGAAGGTAAAAGTACTGAAAAAAATATTGAATAAAATGGAGGATAAAGAAGAATTTTTAAGAAACTTGAAATATGAAAAGCATCCCAAAGGAAAGCACATAATGTTAGAAGGAGAATATTTTGAAAAATTTTATTTTGTTAAAAAAGGAGAAATATCCATACAGGAATTTAATCAATATAAAAATATATATGAAGAAATATCTATTTTTAAAGAAAATGAATATTTTGGTCATAAATTTATTTTAAATAAGAATAAATCCTCTTTTATTGCAATAACAACAACATATACTGAATTATATACACTTGAAGCTTCGCTCTTTAAAAAATTTCTAACTCCTTATAGTGATATTCTAAACAAAAAAAAAGATGTTTTTAAAATAGATGCATTATCTGAAACCATAAATAAGGAAGTACAAACAAAAGAAAAAGATACGAATTATATTTTAAACGTATTAAAATTTTTAAAAAAAGTAAAAATTCTTAATAAATTGGATGACGATGCGTTATACAATGCTGCTAAAAACTTTACTTTTAAATTTTTTAAAAAAGGACAAGTAATTATTAAATATAATGATGCACCTGATTTCTTTTATGTTATTAGAAAAGGGATTGTTTCTGTAAAATTAGAAGACAAAGAAGAAAATGCAGAAAATAATAATTTATACGATGAAAAAAAAGAACAGAAAAAGTTAAATGAACTGAACAAAATAAAATCTGCATATTTATATAAATACGATTATTTTGGAGAGTTATCAATTTTAAACGAGCAGTTGAGGACAGCTAAATGTGAAGCACATACAAATTGCTTTTTATTAGCAATAGATAAAGAATCATTTATTAATAATTTTAATATTATATTTAACGATTTATTACAAGAAGCGGAACAAAGGTATACCAGAAATTATTCTTTACCTCCATGGTTAAAAGCTATGTATGGTTATGACTCTAATAAGTGTAGTACTTCATTATCTATAAAAATACCAGATTCAGGTAGTTCTTTCAGTAGTATTTCAAATGTTAGTAGTGATGAATTTAGTTTTGAAAAAGAAATAAATGAACAATTGAAAAATGAAAAAGAAAAAACTAAAAATAAAAATTCCGATATTTTAGCTACGAGTAAAACAAGTGAATTTAGTAACTCAAAAAGTATTTTTAGCGAAAGTAGCTTAAGCAGCATAGATAATGATAAAGAAATGAACAAAATAAAAGAAGAAAAAGAAAAAAAAATAAATGAAATTAAGTTAAAGGAATTAAAAATATTAGAAAAAATAAAATTGAAAGAAGAAAAAAAAATTAAAGAAACATATATGAAAAAAAAAGGAGTAAGCGAAACAATTTATAATAGAGAAAACAATCAAGATATATCTGAAAATAGCAGTAGTAATCAAATTAATCATAATATTACAACTCAGTCATACTCCGATAAAGAAAAATATATAGACAAAGATAATTTTGATAAAAAAAAGTTAAATAGTGAGGAAAGTAGCCTGAAAAAAGATCCTGAAGACGTAGAAGAAAAAAATAAAAATATAATATATAAAGATACTAAGAAGAAAAAGGAAATAGAAAACAAGGATATTGAAAAATACGCAGATGTACTTCCGAAAAAATCTTTAAGTATTTTAAAAAAAAAGGTTAGTTCTTGTAATTCATCTGAATTAGATATAGGAAAATTGATTGAAAAATTAATTGATTTTATAAATTCAGAATACAATTCTATTTTTCATTTTTATGAAAGTATAGATAAATTTAATATTGGATACATAAAATACAACGACTTTTTGGATTACATTATCACTTTAAATATAGAGGATAGATTTGAATCTAGAGAAAATTTAGAGAAATTATTCAAATATTTGTGTGGAGATAAGCATATTTTGACCTTGATAGATTTTTATAAAAATATTTATAAAAATGAAGAGGTAGATAAGTATGAATTAAATTTAAGATTAACAGAAATTTATGGTAGCAGCACTTTAGCATTTAAAAATGTTGCTCTCTTAAATGTTGAAGATTGTTCATGTAACTATTCAAATTTTGAAACAGTTTGTGAAAAAGTTGGTTTGAGTATTGCTAATATAAAAAACATATGGGATGAAATAAACATAATGAATGAGGAGTTAATTCCTCTTGAAATTGTTCTTAGCATATTAAATGGTGAATTATTGATTGAAGAATCATATAAAGCCTATAATGATAAAAAATCACTTCTGAATCAATTTGTTAATTTTTTTCAAGGAAATGAAGATCTTACCAGAATGAATACAAATTTAATGGAAACTAACTTTGAGATAACATATGAAGAACCAATTATAATTAACAAAGGGCACCATAAATTATATTCAAATGAATGTTCACATATAGTCAAATTACTAGAGAATAATATATATTTTAAATATTTGACATTAGAACAAAGAAAATTTTTTACAACACTAATGAATAGACATACTATGAAATGTAATGACATTGTAATAAAGCAGAATGATGAAGAGGCACCTATAATATGTTTATATGAAGGAAAAGCTAATATAATTAGTTTTAATATTTTTGGTATAGAATCAGTGATAAGAGAAATTGAAAATAATGAATTATATGGTTGTGATGAAGTTGTTAGTGAATCACCATCAGGATATGAAGTAAAAGTAAGTTCTGATATTGCTGTTGTGTGGATATTAGATAGATTATCTTACAAAGAAAATTTAAAATTGATGTTAGAAGAAAGGAAAAAAAATTGCTTTCATATTATGCCAGTACTTAGAAATGTACCAATATTAAGGTATCTCCCTGAAGAAGAACTGGAAAATATCTCTTATGCAATGAAAGTAGAATTTTATCAACCTAATCACACTATAATAAAAGCAAATACATATGATGATAAATATTTTATAATATGTAAAGGTTTGGCTACAGTAGAAAAGCATTCAAACAGTAACAAGGATAAACTTATATTATCTACCTTAAAAAAGGCAGATTATTTTGGAGAATTAGCGCTAATAAAAAATAGTAAAAGGTCAGCTAATGTTGTTTTAGATACAGAAACTATATTATTATCAATTAACGATTCAGAGTTCAATAGATTATTCAATCCTTATTATGAAAAATTTCTAAATAGAGCTAAAGCAAATTATAAAAGAATGGAAATAAGAAATTTAAATGTGTCATCAGATATTGTTGATGCTAATAGTAACACATACATTAGCTCTATAAGTTCATATAAATCAAGAAATAAAATTGTCACTATTCAAGATTACGATGATATAGAAAAGTCTATAAATAGCTCTTCAGAAAATGTTAAAGATAATATATGCTTTTCATTTGATCAAAATGATAATAATGAAAAAAAAGAAAATGATATAAGCGTAATTGAAAACAAAAAAAAAGAAGAGGATGAAGGAGAAAAAAATGTTGATAAAAAAAAAAAAAAGAATAAAGGGAAAGAAAGAGACAAAGATAAAGATAAAAATAAAAAGGATAAAAAGAAAGAAAAGAATAAAGAAAAAGATAAAAATAATGTAAATAAAGAAAAGGAAAAAAGTAAAGAAAATAATAAAAACAAAGAGAATAAAAAATAGGGGAGTAAAAAAAAAAAAAAAAAAAGAAATAAAATAAAGATAAAAAAGAAAGAGATAAGAAATGAATTAATATGTAGAATATATGAATTAAATTTTATTATATATATATATATATATACATGTTTATAGAGAGAGGAAGAAATAAAAATAGGGAAATTTATAATATCACAAGAATAGGTAAAAGAATAATTATCAAGTTAAAAAATTAATGAAAATTTAATCATAAATATGTAGAAATTTAAAATCATATAACTGATATATTTATACATAGTATAGAAATAAATATGGAAATGTTATGTAAATAGTTATGTACAATAAGAAAATGTTTTACAATCCTTAAATTATGAAAGAAAATGCAAAAGTTTGATATATGGTTTTTTTCTTTTTTTTTTTTTTTTTTCTGTAGTATTTCTTCTGAATAAATTTTCTTTAAATAATATATTTCATTTCCTTATTCTATTAATTCAAAATATTATATATTTTCAATTAATACTCAATTTTTTTTTTTGTATATTTTAAAACAATTTTTTTTATGGATAGTTTTTTGATCAATTCTTTCAATAATTTCTACGTTAATTTTTTTCCTTATATCTAAATTAAAGATTTTGTAATTTTTTTTGAATATATTTGAAATTTTTAAAAATATTTTTTAGTAAATTCATTTTATTTTTATATAATTTTAAATAGTATATTATACAGAAAGAATACATCTGTATTTAGTTGCTTTACATTATTATCTTTTTATCTGTAATATTTGTTTATAGAGAGGAATATATATATTAAAATATATATTTTTATTTTTTAAAAATGTATAATATATCTTTTATATATTTCTTTAATTCTTTTTATATTAAATTTTAATTTTTTTTCATTTATTGATACAATTATAGAATAAAGCAATACATATTGTAAAATTTTTTTTTTTTCTATATTTTAAATCTTGAATTTTAATGTCATTTTTTTTATAAATATACACTTTTTTAACACTTTATTTTTTCACATTATATTATTTTTATTTCTTAAGTATGTATACTTAATTGAAAATTTAAATTATCTTAATCATATACCTTACATTAATTTTATTATCAATTTTAAAAAATGTAATAATTTATGTAGATTAAAAAAGGTAAAATGACAATAAAGTTTTACTTACATTTTTTAATTATACTGATTTTGTTTATTCTTTTTTAAAATAAATTACAAAGTATTTTATAATTTGCAAAAATAATTTTTGTTTATGTTAAAATAAAAATTTTATCCTACCGTTAAAATAAAGTATAAAAGTAACATAAAAACATTGATTAAAGTATAAATTTCTAATTACTAGGTTGTGTTCTAAAAATTATAAGATAAAGAAATATATTATTTCTATTTTATAAATATTTTATTAATATTTCAAATATTTTTATATAGGTTTCTTGAAAAAAAAAAAAAAAAAATAAATTTTAAGATTCAAAAATTTTTATTTTTTTTTTATTTTTGTTGCCTTAATATAGATGTAAAACATAATGATATGAAATTGAAAAAGGAAAAAAAAAAAAAAAAAAAAAATGTAATATATATTAAATAAGTATTATTCTTTTTTAATTATATATTTTAAAATTTATTGTAAATTTAATTTTTTTTTTTTTACACAAAAATTTATAAGGATTGATAAATATTTTGGATAATGAGAAATTCCTTTTGCATATGGATATTTTATATGTATAGAGGTATAGTTACATTATATTTATTTATTTTTTTCTCCTTTTTTTTTTTAAGACAGAAGAATCTGGTTGTTCTGTATCATTGTTTTTTGGTTTATTTGATTCTAAAAGTTCGGTAATCTTTTGTTCATCATTATTATTTAAACTAGAATTGTGATTACTTCGATTTCTTTGATTATTCGGATCATTTTCAGTATTTTCATTATTCCTTTTTTCTTCACTAATATTATTATTTTCAGTATTTAAAGTATAATTTGAAGTATCACCAATCAATTTAGGAGCATATCCTTCACTTTTAATCCAACTTAATGGAGTTTTTTCATTAGGTTTTCCATATTTATCTAAAAGTCCTGCTAATATTAATTTTTTTTTTTCCATAGATCTATTTCCAAATCCCCATTTAACATCATATGTATCTCTATCCATTATTACTCTCTTAGTTAATGCAACAATACCATGATCAACTGTTGCAATAACAGTAGATGTCATTTGAGCAATAGCTAATGCTACTGCTTCTCCTTTTGTAGTCATTAAGACAATCTCTGAGTTTATATCTATATTGCTATCAAATCTTAAAACACCAGGAATAGTTAATTTAGCACCATAACAAATTGCATTAACAGCACTATCTTTTATAACTATACGTGGAAAGTTTACTAATAGTTTTTCTAATGGGGCAATTATTTTTCTTAAATATGTTTCATCACCAGTTGTATCATATATATATTGTGCGTCCAAAATATCATGTAAGGTGCACATATTATCGTATTCTGTCATATTACCTGACTTAACTCTTCTCAATTCTTGCATATGAGCTCCTACTCCTAGTAGTAAACCTACATGCTCACATAATGTCCTTATATATGTTCCTGCTTGGCATTTTACCCAAAATACACATAAATTATTTATATCATCATAGTCTAACAATTTAGTTTCATATATAGTTCTAACTCTTAATTGTCTTTTAACTGCACATATTAATGGTGGCCTTTGAAATATGGCACCTTGAAAATTATTCAATACTAATTTTACATCTTCTATACTTTTTGGCTTTGAATGAAATTTACATACACAAACATATTCTTTTCCTGATTCTTGTTGAGATTTTACTAATCTAGTTGCTCTATTTAGACATACTAATAAAACTCCTGTAACTTTAGGATCTAAAGTACCACTATGCCCTGTTTTTTCACATCTTAAAATTTTTCTTATCCATGATACTACCTCATGAGAAGATGGATTACTTGGTTTATCTAAATTAATTATACCATACTTCAAATATTCTTCTAAACTTCTTGAATAAGGAGAATTTCCCATTGGTAATGGGGTAAAGTGAGAAGTACGTATATTCAATTTATCGTAATTTTTTAGTAATAATGGCCAATTAGAAGTGTCTATGACAGCTTCTTTTCTTTCTGGTTCTATTTTATAATCAGCTTTTATTTCTTCCATTTTGTTCTATCTTTAATACCTTCTACAAAATTTATACATACATACCAAGTAAACTCTTATATAAATATGTACATAAGTAGGTATAATATATATGAATATATATATTTTTTTTTTCACTATATTATTATTTTATAAGTTTTTAGTATCATTTATAATTTACAAATATTTTATTTTCATTAAAAATTTATATATATAAGTTACATTTATTTTAATTTCCATTAAAAAATTGTACATATATATATATATATAAATTTTTTTTTTTTTTTTTTCAAATAGATTATTTTTTATTAATAAAATTCATCTATTTATATAATTTATATCTCTTTATCATAATTACATAATGTTATTATTTTTATTATTTTTACACTGGTTATCATACGGATTTATTTTAAATTTATTTTCTCATACATTTGTTATTGTTTATTAATAGCTATTTTTTTATATTATTAATGAATTCTTTATTTATTAATATTTTTATTTTTTATTCCTTTCTTTGTTATTTAAATATATAAAAGCTTCAAAAAAATATGGAATAGTTATTTTATTAAAAATTAAAAAAAAAATAAAAAATAGATATTTAATTTTTTTTTTAAATTGTTATTAAAAAAAAAAAATTTTATTTACATCTTTTTTTTTATTCTATAAATATTTTAAGTATTCTCAAACATTAGTGCTTTTTATATATATCATTAATGAAATTTAAATATTTATATTTAAAATATGGTCACTTTCCTTTTTTTTTTTTTTTTAATAAAAAAATTTAATTTAAATTTAGTAAATAAAACTTTTACTATTTCTTTTACATCCTTTTCAGATATTAGAAATAAAAAAGCTTAAATACGTTTAATAAAAAGAACATAATAAAATATAAGTTTGCATAAATAGAATAAGATTAACAAAAAACCTAGATGAAAACAAAAACTTTGTATTAAGTTCCTTTTTATTTTGCTCATTTAATATATTTATATATACATATATATAATATTACAAATATACTTTGGTTTTTAATTTATAATATTTTTAAAACAATTATTGATAGTTTCAACATCAAAATTTTATTAAAAAAACAAAAAAAAAAAAAAAAAAAATAAAATAAAAATAATAAAAATCAATAAAGGGAATAATAAAAAAATAACATAAATTAAAAAAAATTAACATAAATTATAAAATAATGGAGAAATATATTTTTTGATTTGTTAATTTATAAACACATCATAGATAAAATTTTTCTGTCAGACCAAAAATACAAATATAAAAAATTTATAAATTTATTTTAACAACAAAGATCACTAATTTTTTTAAAAAATGTGTTAAATAAGATTTTTATAAACAATAAATTAGAGCAAATCATTTTTCTACATGTATTATTTTTTTTTATGTTAAAAAGATATTTCAAAGATGATTTAAATGAAAAAAAAAGAATTTTTTCTCTATTCTTCTCATTAAAAGTAAATTTAAGAAATAATTTTTTTTTTTTTTACATAAAAAAGTGTATCATCCTTTTTAATAAATAAAGATGTATTTATAAAATGATATGACAAAAGTTTGTAAGGATCAATTTTAAATGAAAGTTTTGCAAAATGATTTTCTTCTTTTGAATACCTTTTTATAAAACATATGTAACTATTTATAATTTTTTCTTAATTTTTTTAATCATTTGTTATATGTTTTATCAATATTCAATATTTTAATTATTCAATTGTATATTTGACATCCTAAATATAACAAATATTAATTCTCATGTTATATTCTTCTATTCATATTTTTAATTGGATTAATCAAAGAAATGCTTTAAAATTTATTCTATCATTTATTTCTAGATTTTTTTTTTATTCTTTAGATTAATTTTTTCCATAACTATCTCCTATTTATTTTCCCCCAATCCACAAAAATTAATAATATGAATAAAAATAAGAATTTATAACGATATATAGTAGTATATACAAGTAAAAATTGTTAAATATGTAACAATTTATTTGAGAAGCAAAATAATTAGGCGCATATTTATCTCAACCTGTGAATTTTTTTTTAAGACTTCATATAAATATGTATTCATTGTGTAAAATTATATTAATTATAATTTATATTATCTGATAAAAAGAAAAAATGCAAATATATATTCTTGAAGGTCCATATAATCTTGTTAATCATGTAATTTCTTCCATAGATAAAAGAATATTAAAAATTTAATAAATATTATACATTCTTTTTCATAATTTTTATAGTTTTAATTTTGTATATATATAATATATATATATATATATATATTTTACAAATGTCTCAAATTCTTATGCATATTATTTAAGAGAATTCAGCAATTATTTTTTTGTTGTGTGTGATTTATATTTTTATTATGTGTTATTTGATAGGGTGAATTTTGAGAAATATATGATGCCATGTTGTTAGGTAAAATATGTGGTGGAATATTGTTACTTATATCTGTTGGTTGAGATGCCTTTAATAAAATGTTATTTTCATTTACATTTTTATCTATGTTTCTTAATTCCATTATATTAACGTTATTTGAAGGCATTACTTGTTGAAATGAATCATATGTAAAAAATTTGTCTTGATTTGTAAATTTATTTATATTATTTGATACATTTTTATTTAACATAAATAATGTGTTTTCATTTAAATTATTATTTAAATTTTCTTTTGTAATAATTTCATCATTGTTATTATTTATTTGTCTCAAATTATGTAAATTGGGAACTTGTGAATTTACAGGCATTGTTATTTGTCTTTGTTTTTGTTTTTTCTCATTTTCTTCATTTATTAGAACATTTTTCTTTAAAGCATATATTTGCTGTAATTTTTGTTGAGGTAGAGGTATTTGTTGTTGTAACTGTTCCATTTGCTTTTTTAATTCTTGTTGATGAAATTGATATTTTTGCATATGTATTTGCTGTAATTGTTGGGGTTGTAATTGCGGATGTAATTGCATTTGTAATTGTTGTGAATGCAATTGTGATTGCATTTGCGGTTGTATTTGTGTCTGTAATTGATGTGATATTTGTTGTGATTGTAATTGCTGTAGCTGTTTTTGTAACTGTTGTTGTTGAAGTTTTTGTAATAATTTTTGTTGTCGTATTTGATCATTTTTGATTTGGTTTTCTTGTGTGCACTGATTATGCATTTGCTGAAATGAAGATGGAGAATTCTGTTGACTTTCTTTATCATTATATGCTTTTTGAAATAATTCTTGCTGCATTTTCTGTTGTTGTAATTTTTGCTGCAGTAATTCTTGTTGTATTAATTTCTGCTGAATCATTTCTTGTGAAGAAAATACATTTTTCTTTGGTAACTTTTGTAACATATTTTTAGTCAAATTATTATTTAAACCTGTGCTTATCATGTTTGAATTATTTATATTGTGATCATTAAAAGTTGATTTCACATTTTGTTGTTTTAAATTTGGAGAACGAAATGAAGGTATGCATGTCTTACTAACATTTTGTGGTGTAATATTAGATTGATTAAAAATTTGTGCATTCACATTAGGTTGATTCCCATTAGATTGATTCACTATGGGTTGATTCCCATTAGAATGACTCAATATGGGTTGATTTCCATTAGGCTGATTCATTATAGGCCGATTCATTATAGGTTGATTCACATTAGGTTGATTTATATTAGGTTGATTTATATTAGGATGATTTATATTAGGTTGATTTATATTAGGATGATTTATATTAGGATGATTTATATTAGGATGATTTAAATTAGGATGATTCACATTAGGATGATTCATATTAGGATGATTCATATTAGGATGATTCGTATTAGGATGATTCATATTAGGATGATTCATATTAGGATGATTCATTATAGGTTGATTCATATTAGGTTGATTTATATTAGGTTGATTTATATTAGATTGATTTATATTAGGATGATTCATATTTGATTGATTCATATTAGTTTGACTTATATTAGGTTGATTTATATTAGGTTGATTTATATTAGGATGATTCATATTAGGTTGATTTATATTAGGCTGATTCATGCTAGGTTGATTCATATTAGATTGACTTATATTAGGTTGGTTCAAATTTTGCTGGTTAATGTTAGGTTGATTTAAATTTTGTTGACTCATATTTTGTTGAGAATACCCTTTTGAATTCATATTTAACTGACTAAGGACTTGAAGAATAAAATTCATTTGATTTACATATTGATTTAAATTCATTTGTTTTCTATTTTGAAAATTTACATTATTGTATTTCATTGATTGATTATTTAGATTATGTAAGTTCATGTTTTGTTGATTTAAACTTTGTAAATTATTATTTTGGCCATTAAAATTTCTCTGATTTATATTTCTTTCATTCATATTATAAATAGAATTAGTTTTTTGATCATTCATATGAATATATGTCTGTCGAAATGTGTTAGATTCCACTGATGGTAACTTTGATTGATCATTATTAACAAAACTATTACTATTGGCATAATTTTGCTGTATTTTATTATTATCTAAAAGTTTGTTTTGTATTTCGTTTTGTTGTTTCATTTGAAACACATTTTGAAAGTTTTGAGAATTATCTATTATACTTTTTGAATTGGTAGACATATTTTTATTTTCTTCATTAATTTCATTTTTTACACTGTTTTGACTTATATAATTAATGTTTTTATTTACTGATTCACTGGGATATGGTATATGTTCTAAGTTATCAACATTTGTATTATTAATATTTACAAAATTTTCTACTTGATGATTTGGAAAACTTATAACTTTTTTTACATTATTTGATGTATTTATATTTTGAATTATATTAGGAGCATAATTAACATTAAAACTATTGTAATTTGTTTGCTTATAATTTGACAACAAATTTGTTCTACCTTCATTATGGATTGTATTGAAATTTTTTATATTGTTGCTAGGATAATTAGTTGGAACATAATTCAAATTTTGTATATTTTTATTATTTGCATCGATAAAGTTCAATGAGTCATCTATATCTTGATTCAATATTTTTTCTTGAAATATCAACTTGTTCTGATTATCTTGAATTAACTGTGAATTAGCAGTATATGACGATGGATAATTACCAGGCGATGCTGATTTTATTGAAAAAGAGTCATCATTTATCTTATTCATGGAAGAAGGTCTTACTTGATTTTCTAAATACATAGAATACATTTTTTTTTCTGAGTTTAAACTATTACTTAAAGAATTTTGTAACTGTTTCGTTGAAGCATTAGATGAAATTTCTAGTTGCCTAGAATTATTTAATACATTACTTGTGATTTGCTTTGGGGGTAATTCAACTGATTCATATAACGGTGTTTTATTATAAGATATGTGATTATTACTATGATTCATAGAAATGTGTTTACTATGTTGTGATGACACATGAATAGGAGATGTAAAATTATCATCTTCTTTATTTTGAAAAGAAAAAATACATAACTTATTATTTAAATTATTGCTATTATTACTTAAATTTAATTTATTTGTAGGTTGTAATGCTTTCATATTATGTAATGAATCAGATACATTATAATTTTTCTCACTTGTAATTTGTGTTTGCTGATATAAAATTGCCGATGAATTTGATTTAATGCTTTCTGTGTTAGAAGTACTTTTTTGAATTTTATTTGGTGATTGATTAGAAATATAACAATCTTGAATATTTTTTGTTGGAGCTTGTTGATTATTTATAGAATTATTTATATTCTCATTAATTGAGTTGTTAGGAATATTATTTGTGTTATCTGATAATATGTATTTTTTATTAGGGATATTTAATTTATCATTTATTAAATGATTATTTGGAAAATTAAATGGAATTTGATCATTTATATTATGCTCATTTATCAATTCCTTGTCTATTAATGAATTATTTTTTTCTAAATTTATATCTCTTTGAAAATAGGATCCTTTCTCTTTAACATGAATATTATTTATTTTATTACTATCTGGTATATGTGTTTTAGCATGTTTTCTGTAAGATATATAAGTATTTAAATTATGTGTATTATTTGATACATTAATGTTTTTTAATTCATCTGATAATAAATTTGACATACTTATTGATGTTTTAGATTTCGTCATATTATTTGCATGATCCGTGTTTTTAATTGGTTGAGATTTTTGTCTGCTACCTGATAAATGTGTTGTTTTTGATGAATACTTAATTTGCTTATCAGATAAAGGAGAGTCATTTAAGTACTCATTATATGACTTAATTAATGATATAGTTTGTCTCTTCGTTTTTGTTGTTTCTTTGTTTGTCTTCATATTTTGATCCTTAATGTTTGATAAATTGTTACTATTATTAAAAACTTTATTGTTATCATTATTATTATTTAAGCTAAAATTAATAAAATTTTCATTTTTAGGAACTTCCTCTTTTATATGATCATATAAAGATGTATCATTTGGGTTAAATGGTAAATTACAAGAATCATTTAAATTTTCTGGCCTTTTATTTAATGGATTATTTTCTTCTTTCATCATATCTTCTTTATTTTGTTTTAACTGTTTTTCAATAGTAATAGAAAATTTTGCTTTATTGTTATTTTCGCATTCTTCTTTATTTGTGTTTTTAGATAACAAATCTGTAGAACATGAATTAGATAAGAAGGAGTTATTTTTTTTTTTAATATTCAGATTTTCAATATTTCCATTATTATTTGAATTTAATGAATTAATCATATTATTTTCATTTATTTTTGCATAATTTAATTCCTTATTTTTATCAAAATATAAATTTTTTTTCTCGTCATTAAAATCGTTGTTTACATTATTTTCTTTAATCAATTTGTCATGAGATATATTTTCATTTTTGTTATTACTATCTGTTAAATTTTTATTATTACTTAAACTCATTTTATATATTTCTTCATTTTTTTCTAAAAAAATTTTGTTATGACATTTTTCTGCTTTAAGTTCATTATAATTCCCATTAAAGTTTTCATTGATGTATTTTCTATATGCCCTTAAGCGTGTTTCCGAGAGAAGATTTTCTATAGCTTTATTATTTTTTGATGATAATAGAGAACCATTAACAGGAAAATTTCTTAGTTTATCTAAAATATAATCAGCTAATAATATTTGAGAAATCAAGTTCTTACAATGAAATCGTTTTTTTATTTTTTTAATATTTATTTTTTTTTTGTCATCAACAAAAGGAACATAATTAAGTATCTGTTGAGCAAATTCATTAACTCTCTTATATGATTCATTTGGTGAATAAATATATAATTCATTAACTTTAAAAGATTCATTATTTAATAAATTATTTAATTTTCCTAAGCTTTCACTTTTTTTCCTTTTGTCATGTTGTATTATTTTTGTTATGTATTTTAGAAATTCTTCATCTATTTTGTTCAAAAATAAATTATTTTTATTTTCGCTATTTTTAATATTGTTTGAGTTACTAATAAATTTATGACTCACTTCATTATTTAAAGAATCTAGAAAATTATCTTCATATCCTATTACTGGTTTAATACTTTTGTAAAACTTCTGTATAATCTTATAAATATGTTTATTCTCTACATTAGAACCTTTATTTATTATGGATAAAAACTCTTTAACATTTTTTTTATTATTACATACAGAATTCAACAATTTTTTTATACCATCACAATTTTTTAAAATATAATTTAATTCACAATTTTTTTTAATTTTTTTATTTATATGTTTATCTTTTAATAATAAAGAAGATCCTATATTTGAACTGTCAGAAATATTCTTATCCACAAAGATATTTTCCTTCATTAATCCATTTCTTGTTATATCATTTATTTTTTCTTTTTCTATTACTATTATTTCTTTTTTAGCTTCACGTATATTTTGCTGATCTGCGTAAGAAACATCTTCATTTTGTTTCATTTCGTTTTTATCTTTATTTTTTTCTTCATTTTTGATTTCTACCTTTTCTTGTTCTTTTCTCTCTTGACTCTGTGAGTTTTCATCTTCTTTATTTATTTCTAAATTACGTATATCTTCCTCTTCTAATTTTTTTTCTTTTTCTAAATATCCATTTTTATCTTTTTCATTACAATTTTTTTCTTCTTTTTTACCCTCTTTCTTATCCTTATTCTCATCTTTATTTTTTTCTAAATCTATATTTGCATCTTCCTCTCCATCAAACTCTTCTTCTTCTTCTTCTCCTTCTCCTTCTTCTCCTTCTCCTTCTTCTTCTTCTTCTTCTTCTTCTTCCTCTGCTTCCTCTTCCTCTTCCTCTTCTTCATCTTCTTCTTCTTCTTCTTCTTCCTCTGCTTCCTCTTCTTCTTCCTCTTCTTCTTCCTCCTCTTCTTCTTCTTCTTCTTCTTCTTCTTCCTCTTCTTCTTCTTCCTCTTCTTCTTCATCCTCTTCTTCTTCTTCCTCCTCTTCTTCTTCCTCATCTTCTTCATCTTCATCTTCTTCTTCTTTTTCTCCTATTTCTTCTTCATTTTCCTTTTCTTTTTCTTTTCCTTTTTCCTCTTCTTCTTCATATTTTTTCTCATCTATATCTTTTTCTTTCTTTTCTTCAATTTTCTCATTTTCATTTCCTTCATTTCCTTTTATATTATCTATATTTAATAATGTTTCTTTTTCATTTTTAATTATCTTATTTTTATAATTGAATGATTTCTTACGTAAATCATCTAATTTTAATGTTGAATTTTCTACATCACTACAACTAAAAAAACTATCTTTTCCACAATCAGTATCTTCCTCTGATGTTTCTTTAGAAGCACAAGAAAAATCATTAAATAAATCATTAAAAAAATCCTTTTTCCTTTTTAAATTATCAATATGAATTTTCTTTTTATACTTAAAAGGATTATTTGCTTCATCCATTTCGTTAACCATATGAAAATTGTTTTGGCTTTTATTTTTTCTGTTATTCATAAATGATTTAAAATTCAACAATTTAGAATCTTTTGATAATTTTTTTAAAAAATCATTTCTTTTTTTTTTATTTCCATAAAAACATTTTATATTTTCACCTTCTAAATTGTTTTCATCATAAGGATTTTTTTTCATTTCTTTTAAATTTTTATCGCATTTTTCACTTTCTATGTCATTTTTTATTTTGTCATAACTATTATGCTCACTGCTATTAGTATTTTTTTTTTTTTTGGATTTATAATTTTGAATTTTTTCATTAAAATATTTTTTTAATGTATTTATTAATGTATTTACATTACTTGAAAATATAGGTAGAAATTTTAATTTTTTCGAACGTTTTTTGAATGTTTTTGTACCGTTTGAATAATTTTCATAATGCAAATTATATGATACTATATCATTGTATAAATCATCTTTTATTAATGAAAAGAATTTATTCTTACATTCATCTGGACTTCTATTTTTTTCATAAATATTATTTATTTTATTATACGATCCTAATGCCAATGATATTATATCCCAATTTATATAATCAATATAATTAATTTTGTTATTATGGTGTTTCATATCATTATTAATTCCGTCAACAAATTCATCTTTATAATTCTCATTGTTACATTCACTTTCAAACTTTTCGTTGGTAGATGTATTTTCATAATTTACTTCATCAACTTTATTGTAATTATCTAATTTATCTGATTTTGTTTCTTTGCAATTGTTTGTTTCATTTCTTAATTTATCTAAGTCATTCACATTATTTTTATCTAAATTATTATCATTTTTGTATATTAATTCTTTTGATTCCTCGAAACATAGCATAGAATTATTTTCTTTTTTTTTTATTTCATCAACATTTATATAATTCATATATGTTTTTGTTAAAATTAGAAGGAAATTCATTTCATCATTTGTCCACTCTTCTCTTTTTTCTTTCCACTTTTTAAAATTTTCATCATTTTTTTCATTGAAAAGGAATTCTCTTTTTAAAACATTTGATTCATTTTTTAAATTTGATTTTTCAAAAAAGTTGTATATTTTATTCTCTCTTTTGGGAGAAGGACATTGACCCTCTGAATCATTGCAATTTACCTCATTTAATTCTATATTTTCATCTATATTTATTAAAATTTTTTCATTTAATGATAATTTTTCGGTTTCATCTATAATTTCAACTCCTTTATAATTTTCACTTAATTTACGTTTAAGAATTTTTTTTTTTGACGAAAGGATATCAGAAAAATCTTTTTTTCTCTTTTTCTTATCTCTTTTTATTTGTTTTTTTAATATATATGAAGAATTCTTTAAATAAAATAAATATAAAAAAAAAGTATATTCATCGTATTCTGATAGGTTCATTAAGGGTAAATTAATGTCATTATAATAACCATCTATATATCTAAATTCAAATGGATATATTTTACCCCCGTGTAGTTCCATATTGTTGATATAAACATCTACATTTTTTTGTTTTATTTCATTAAAATATTCATTTATATTTTTTTCTATAATTGAATTATGTATTTCTTTATTTATATTATCTACTGAATACGGTATTACAATTAACTCTTTAACATCTATGTTTAATGGGGAACTAGTAAAGATACTATTATGCTTCATATCCTCATAATGATCAATATGATTTTTATTAATAATATAAAAGTCATGGTTATTATTATTATGATACAATTTTTTATATTCTTTTTTTTTTAATTTATATTCTTTATAGTCATCATATTCATCCATTTCATTTCTGTTTTTCGTTTTTAATATTTGCATTTTCTCCATTTCTTCGAATTCTGGTTTCTTTTTTGCTTCTTCATCCTCATCTTCAGTACCATCATCGTTATATTTATTTATTTTTTTTTTATTATTCTGAAAATCAAAAATTTCTTCTTTTATTTCATTTTCTTCTAACATTACTTTCGAATCATTTGTAAATGAATTTAAACATTCACCATCATAAGGATTAATTTTTTTTTTTTTTTTATATTTTCTAAAATCTTCAAATTCTTTTTTGATTTTTTTATTTATTTCTATTTGAGATTTATCCATATTTATTTGATTAACATGTGTTTCATTATAGCAGTGATTTAATTTATTTTCCATTTGCTCAAGGGAATCATCATTTAAAATTGATGCTTTTTTTTCATTTATAGCATTATCATCTTTATAAAAAACACTTTCGTTAACTTCAATAAGAGAAATACTTATGAATAATAGACAATAAATATATAAATGATTGCTTAAATCTAAATAGTTACTGTTATTTGAATAAAAATCATTATTATCTTTATAATGTAATACATCTAAATATGTAAATTCATCGTATTTCCTATTTTCTGTTATATGTTCTTTTTTATTGAATTCATGTTTATTTAATAAATCCTTATTTATATTTTCCCTCAAATTAATTAAAGAGTGTTCATAATTTATATAAGAAGTTATGATTTGTTCATCAAATTCCATTTCACTGTTTTTTAATACATTTTTGTCTAAATATAAATTATTTTTATTATAGTATATATTATTCTCATTTATGTTTAAGTATTCTTGATTTAATCTATCATTCGTACTAAAAAAATTATTATTATTATTATTATTTTCATTATGTATACTTATTACATAATCAATATTGTTATTTACAATATTTTTGTTATGAAAGGAATTTAATGAAAGTATATTTTCAGATGCACCTACATTATTTATACTTAATTTATTAACAACTTCAGAATTATTATGTTTATTTTCGCTATTTATATGCATTAAATGTTCATTGTTTCTATTATAATCATCACAAAATAAATTATTTTTATTAATATGCAGGTTATTTTCTTCTATCTGTAAATTTTTTTGAAATGAATCAAAGAAATTTTTTTTTAAAACACTTTTATTTTTTATTTTATGATCTAATTCAACAGGAACTAAATCTGGTCTTATTTCGTTTAATATAAAAAACCAAAACATTTTAATATCGTTTGATATTTGAGATGAAATAAAATACTTATCATTTTTTTTCTTTTCTTCAAAATGATTATTCATTAGATAACCAAATCTTTTTGAAACATTTTTTTTCCATCTCTTTTCTTCATAATAATCTATACTCATCCACATCATTTCTTTTAGCATAAAGTTATTATGTGTTTGAAAGTTATTGATTGGTTCCGCTTGTTTATATAATCTACCATTTTTTATAATTTTATATGCATTTTCAGCAATAAGGATATTCATTGCATATTTATCATTTTTTTCATTTGGATAATTTTTTTTTCCTGTTTTGCTTACCTTTTTTTTCTTATTGATTTCTTTTTTTTCTATGTTTAAAAATGACTCATCGTTATTACTTGAAAGTTTTTCAATCTTTTGCAAAGCAATATGGTTTATACATCCATTTACGCTTTCAGTTTTCACTTTGTTCTTACTTTTATTTTTTTCATTCTTCCTCTTTTTATCATTTGATTCATCGTTATTATTTTTATAATCTTTATCATTCTGAATTTTTTTATTTTTATCATTATCATTATTATCATTATTATCATTATTATCATTATTATCATTATTATTACTATTTTCATTATTATCATTATTATTACTATTTTCATTATTATCATTATTATTACTATTATCATTATTATCATTATTATCATTATTATCATTATTATCATTATTATTACTATTTTCATTATTATCATTATTATTACTATTATCATTATTATCATTATTATCATTATTATTACTATTATTACTATAATCATTATTATCATTATTATCATTATTATTACTATTATTACTATTATCATTATTATCATTATTATTACTATTTTCATTATTATTATTATTATTATTAGCATTACTATTATTATTATTAGCATTACTATTATTATTATTAGAATTACTATTATTATTATTAGAATTACTATTATTATTATTAGAATTACTATTATTATTATTAGAATTACTATTATCATTTCCATTATTATTACTACTACTACTACTATATTTGTCATTACTGCAACTTTTCATAAAAGAATCACCTAGGAATATTTCATTGCTATTTCTATTTCTTTTCCCTTTATATTTTACACATTGTTTTATGTTTAAAATCTTATAATTAAAAAGAAAATGTTTACAGTACTTTAACAAGCTCTTATATGAAATAATAAATTTTTTTTTTATTACATTTTTAAAATATTTATATTTAAAAAATCTTTCATCTATATAATAATTTTTTACTCTCTTTATATTAACTTTAATAATTTCGTTTTTTCTAAAACTTTTTCTTCTTTTAAAGACTTTACTAATTTTTAATACTTTAATTTTTATTTTATTTGTTAAACTTTCTATGACTTTTTTATAATATATATTACTTTTATTATTTATATGATTAATTTTCAAAAGTTCTATTTGATTCTTATCTATATTACCTACATACTCAGATGAAAATATTCCTTTACACTTTGAAACAATTAGAAAATTTCCTCTTAAATCTTTATTTATATATTTAAAAAATTTTATAATTTTGGTACATAAAATTATTATGTAACTGCTATCAAAGAATAATTCAAAAATATAAAAATTTCTATTTCTTTTTTTCAAAATTAAAAATGAATATTTATTTGCATTAAGAAAGTATTGATTATTTAAAATAATATATAAAGTAATGTAGTTAAATTTAAATTCTAAAAATAAAAATAGTGAATTTTTGTCCATAACTATTAAATTTATTAAATAATATTTTAACATTTTTAAAAATAAAAAGATTTCCACAATATGTGTTATCTCTCTTAAATCGAAATATAAAAACTGCTTGTATTCTTGTTTTCTTTTATTAGAATCTGATACATTATTCATTAAAATTTTCTTATAATATATAATGTTATTGTTAGTTAAAAAACGAATTTTATTTAACATATTAATGAAACTATTCTGTTTAGCTTGGTTAAAATTTCCATTTTTCTTAAAAGAAATTAAATAAATTATTTTATTGTATTTATTTATTTTTTTAAAAAAGGAACTACATAAACTTTTAATTTTTTTCTGTATTTTATGAATAAAAAGATCATTTCTTATTTTCTCCTCCTTTAAAAAAATTTTAAATATATCAATGTAATTATTAATAGTGCAAATATATTTTTCCTCATAATATATTTGATAAAAATGTTTGCTTTCCTTTATATCTAAATTGATTATAGAATTACTCCTTTTATTAAAATATCTTGTATTTTTGTAAATTATATTATAAATAATATAATGTACATTTTTATAATTTTTTTTTCTTTTTCTTTTCTTAAATATACTTTTTGAAGATTTTTTATAATTTAGTTTAAGTAATTTGTTTACGTATATAGTTATCAATTGGATTTTATTATTTTTAATTTTATATTTAAATTTTATGATTTTTTTACTATTATTATTACAATTATTATTGCCATATTTACTCTTATTTTTATTGCTTCTATTATTCATTTCATTATTTTTATTAAAAATAAGGTTAAAATTATTTATAAATGCTTTAGAAAATTTTATATTTCTATTATTTATTAATAAGAAAATAAGAAATTTTTTCATAAAAGAAATATCAATACAAATTTTTATTGAAACAAAATAATTATTATAAATTTTCTCTTGTAATTTTTTATGTTTCTTCTTTTCAATTTTAAAGTAACAAAATCCATTGTGTACAAAATTATTTATTACATGAATTCTCTTTTTTCTGTCTTTTTCTTCATAATTTTCTAATCCTACCTTTTTTATTTCTGATACATATATATATTTATTTTTTTTAGTCGCTTCATCGAAAATATAGTATTTACATCTCTTAGTAATATAATTTAAACAATTAAAAAGCAACAGAAAATGTAATTTTATAATTTGCTGAATATATATATAAATAAAGGTATATATTTTAATAAAAAATAATACCATTCTACGTGTTACTTGAAGATATATTAAATTAATTAAAAAAATATCATTTTCATATTTTTTGTAATTTAATAATTTAATAAAAAAGTTCATGATATTTAGGCTTCTTTTGTTATTTGTTATTGTCTCTATGATATTTTTTTTATTAATATGTTTAAAAACAGTTATATTGTTTTCATTAAAAGTATAATCATTATATCTTAAAATTTTATCTTCATTGTCATTAACCCAATAATATCTATGAAAATTGACAAATTTATTATTTAAATTCATTTTTATTCTTTTAGTGATATTTTTTTTAATAATTTTTCTGTTCTATTATTTCTAATGATTGAATCCAATGACTTGTTTATAATCTTGTGTATTTCTTTATTTTATTTAATTAAACATTTCCTTTTTTTTTTTTTTTTTTTTTTTTTTTTTTTTTTTTTTTTAATTATTTATTTATTTATATCTTATTTTTTTTTTTTTTATTTTTTAAGTTTTTTTTAATTATTTAGTTTCCTTCTTTACATATTCCTTAATAAATATTTTTTTGTAATTCTTTTTTTAATTTTTTCTTTTTTATCAGATCATGTTATTTATCATTTTTTTAAAATTGAATGAAATTATATTTTTTTTTAAGAATATACATAATTTTTCTGTAAAAAGTTTAAAAAAAAAAAAAAATACTCGTGCATAAAACAGTTCTTTATTTTTTAGATAAAGGATAACCTTTCTTCAGTATTTTGAATAAAAATAAAATATAAAACATAGTTGATTTAAAAAAAAAAAAAAAAAAAAAAAAAAAAAAATTAATAATAAAAGAAAAAAAAAAAAAAAAAAAAAACATTTACTATTTATATTTAATAATATTTATATTATATTTTTTATTAATAATTATTTTGTATTTATATTATGAATTAATGAAGTTTTATTAACATAACAGTTATATGTGAAATTCAAATTTTATTTTGTTATATACAATTATGTCTATAAAAAAAAAAAAAGTTAAATCATTTAAAATTCTACCTATATTAGTTTTTTTTTTTTATTATTCGAATGTAAAATTTCATTTAAAAATATTCAGTATATGATAAAATCTTTCAATTTTTTTTCATATGTAATTTAATTAAAATATATTTATACATTTTAAAGGTCTATGTAAACATTAAGGTATTTTAATAATATGTATTATACATTATATATGTATATTTGAAAAAATAAAAAAAAAAAAAAAAAAAAGGAAAAATGGAGAAAAATATATAAGAAAAAAGAGAACATAATAGAAAAAAAAGTTTTATTCAAAATCTTTGTTCTAAATTATATAATATTTAATTCATAAAAAACTTTATATGTAATAAATACTTAAACATATATTATATTATTATTTTATTGTTTGAATTGCATGTTACTGATCATTTATTATATTTTTTTTTTTTATAATTAATCTTCTAAGGACAATATAATTTTAATTGTAATTATTTAGTTACATTTTTCAGAAATTAGGAAAATTAATTAAAAAATTTTACCATATATTAAAATATTATATAATTTATTTCTAGACACACATAATAGTATTTATCTACTAATTACACTTGTCAACGCACATTTTTTTTTGATTTATTTTGAGTTATTTTTATACGATACGATAGAATCTAGGTTTTTTCCATTTTAGAAAGAATTTTATTATAAATATTATCAATAAATTATTTTATATTGAAAATTTATATTTAATTTTTAAAATATGCATGTATATATATGCAAATATGTATTTATGTTTATTTTATGATTATTTGAACAAACATATTCTCTATATTTTTTAGGTACAATGAATTTTCCATTACACATAACTTTTTTTTTATTTACACTAAATTTACACGATTTAACTTACCAACTGAATTATTTGTAAAAATTAAAAAAAAAATAACTACCTAAAATTATGTTAATAATTGTTTTAAGTCTAAATGTGTTTTGCACATTTACAGCTAAAATAATTATTTATAAAAGATTTTTTCATTTTAATGTATAAAGTAATTTTTTATTAATTATAAAGTATATTTTTAAATTTAAAAATTCAGAAATAAGTAAATCTATAATTAAATAATAATAAAACAAAGTTTTATTATATCCCCTATTTATTTATTTTTTTCTAAAATTATGTGACGATTTTAATTTTTTTTGTAAATTTGTATGTACTAAAAAGGAAATTTAAACTATTTTAATGATTAAGTAATAATTCAAAAATCTAAATTTTTATTTTTTATTTTATTTTTTATGTTTTTTTTTATTTTTTTTTTAATTTCTTGATAATTTTAAAAGGTAGCAATAAAAATAAAAAAGTCTGCAATAACGGTTTTTTTTAATTAAATTGGTTATCTGATGTATGCTAATTTATATATTTTTTTGTTTTTTTTGAAACTCACGTATGTATTATAGGGAAGTTTTATATAACTACAATATTTTTTAGGTGGAGAAAAATTAAAAAATCGTATAAAAATAAAAAAATAATGAATTCATCATCTATTGATTATGCAGCTTGTCTATGTTTAATTTTTTTAAAAAATAAAAAAATTCATAATTATTGTAAATAATGTAAGTTTTTAAAAAGATTAAATGATAATATGTTTTATAAAAATGAAATATAATACCCAAATATCTAAGTGCATAAAAGAATTAAATTTACGTTATATAAAATTATCGTATAAAAACTAAAAATATAATAACTACATTAATATATATATATATATATTATTAAAGAATTTTATTTATTAAATATTTTAAAATTTTCTAGAAAATATAATGTTTGATAAGATTATAAGAGAGCATTAATAGTATTGTAAAATTAAATACAACCTAAACAAGTTGAGTGTTTCGCACATTTTTTGTTAAATTAAAATATCATAATTTAATCTAAAATAAAATAAAAAATAAAAATGAGTAAATGGAATTTTTTTAAGTAGTTCATTTTTATGTTTTACTAATTAGTAAGTTACAAAGAAATGTATTTTTATATAAAAAAAAAAAAAAAATAAAAAAAAATAAATTATATTCTCTAATCATATTTTAATTTTTATTTCTAGAAGTTTTAATATATTATTGTTACACAGTTAAACATTTTTGTAATCATCAATAATAAATTTTGGATTAATTTAAGGTTTTTTATTTTACAATTTTATAATAACAAATAAAAATATATTAAAATATAAGAATATGCACACTTTGTCATTTTTTTAAAAAAAATCATAGACTTTTTTTTAATCTTTAATTATGTGGAAAGAAAGATTTTGAAATAAAAGAAAAAAAGTAGATCTTCGGTATGCATATTAAAAGATTATATATATATATGCGACAAATAGAAAAATGCGCAATAATGCTTTTATAATAATTTTATGCAATATTTATATTACTTTTAAATAAACATTTAATAACTAATATATATAATTGACTATCTTTTACAGAAAAATTTATCTTTCGTTTTTTATTTTACACAAAATTATACTAAATTAACAAATAAATATTTGTAAAAAAAAAAATTTTTAGATTATTAAATTTAGTTGTAATTTTTTACTATGAAATAATTATTTTATAAATTTAATCTGAATATTTCTTAATTTTATAAATTTTAATTTATAAAGATATAAATTAACAAAAAAAAAATATATACATACATATATATATATATATATAATAAAATAATATTCAAGTATTTCAAAGTATAAAAACCGTATCTTGAAACTTCTCATATTTCGTAAGAATATTAATAATCTATCTAATAAAAAAATTATTAAGAAATTAATATATTCTTAATTTAACAAAATTTTTTATGCTTTCTATAAAATATTTTTTAAAAAACATATTTTTTTCTTCTCATTTAATATATTTCTTTTCTTTTTATTCTCTTACAACAAAGAATTTATATTTTTTTTTATCTTTAAATGCATAATAAATATCTTATTTATATTTAATATTTATTTTTTATTTATATTTTTCTCTTTTTCATGTTTGCATTTGTTATATTTTTATTTATTTAAACTTATTAATTTTAAATTATTTAAAAATATATTACTAATAAACAGCTTTTTTTTTTTCATTATAATAAAGGTATTCTATTATAAAAAATAAAAATATTTATTTTTTAACAAAATTTTTTTAATTTTTAAAATGAGTGTCGAAGATATAACTACGGAACAATTGGAAAATGCTACAAAGTAATTTCGAAGAATTTTTTTTTTTTTCTTATATGTGAAAATTTAAAATACACCGTTTATTCTTTTACTAAATTAATTTTTAGTTAAATTTTTAGCATTCAATGTATAACTTTCTTCTACCTTCTTCAAATTTCTAAATATTAAACTTTATTTCTTTTCATTTATTTTTTATTTGTAAACGTAGATCATTTGTTTCAATTGAATCTGCCACTCAAATTAGTAGGAGATATGTTAGAAAAAAATTGGAGGAAATTTTTAATTTAGAGGAAAATGCACTATATGAGAGAAAAAAGGAAATTAATGATATCGTTGAAAAAGTATTAACAAATCTTCTTGAAGAAGAAAATATGAAAAAAAATGAAGGATTTTCAATGAAAAATGAAGAAGTAAATAATATAAAAATCAATGATGATAAAAAGGAAAACTTAGACAGCAAATCAAATTTTATAAATAATAATAAGGTATAAAGATAAATATATTTATATAAATTTTTTTTTTTTTTTTTTTTTTTTTTTTAATATATATGAAAAATTTATAACTTTAATTGATCTTTTTGTATGTTATTTCATATAATTGTGGTACCATTTATTTATACCTATAGCATCTTTAAAATCTATATGTATTAATTTTTATATATATATATAGGATGAAATAAAAGAGGAAATTAAAAATGAAAATAATGATAATAAGTCACTGTGTGCACTTTCAGATGAAGATAAAAACTCATCAAAAAAAAGAAAAAAAAGTAGCAATGATGCGGTTTCAACTAGAAAAAAACAAGGTATTTAATTTACATTCATTTTTTTTTTTTTTTTTCTTTTATATATTTTAAAAACATATAATTTTTATATTATATAAAAATGCTATTTTTTTTTTTGTACATTAATGATATTAAATATTTAAAGACTTCATTGGTACATATATATATTTTTGCAATACCCATATATAATATATATTATTATTATCATTTCTGTATTTTATTTATTTTACGGAAATTTTAATAATTAGTAGTAAATATTTTTAAAATTTATTTTATTATTTTATTATAATTAGCTAATATAATGACAAAAGAGTATTTTTTAAACAATGCAAAATCATTATTCTGCAATATATCAGAAAATATAAAATTAAAATTAGAACCAAGAATTTTCAGTACTGGAAGTTGTGGATGGTAAAAAATATTTTCCTTTTTTTCTTTTTTTTTCTTTTTATAATGTATTTTTAAAAATATAAATTTTCACTTAGGCATATGATGGATAAAGTTTATCTTCTAGTAGGGGATCATAGTGTTCTTTGTCAATTTTGTATAAATTGTTCAGGTATATATATATATATAAAATAAACAATAATATTTAAAAAGAAGATTGCATACATAAATATGATAAAACATACATTAACATTATATATTGAAATATATTAAGAATAAATTAATTTCTTTTTGTGCACAGTTATTGGTAGCAAACAATGGAATTAGGAATATTAAAAGACAAAAAATTATTAACAAATTAAAAATTTACACTAAAAATAAAGAAATGAAAGTTAAAAATCTGAAGAAAAAATATTATTTTGTACCAAGATTATTTAAATACGTTGTCACTAAATAATTATAAGATCTTATTTTAATTTTTTTTTTTTTTTTATAGAAGACATTTATTTCTTTTTTCTGTTTCTAAAATCATTTGAATTAAATTTTTTTTTTAAGATTTTTTTTTAATGAAATTATATTAAAAATAATAAATTTTCATTTTTTCTAAAATTTTTGTTTTATGTAATTCCGTAAAAATTTAAATCGTTTTTTTTTTAAAAATTAATAAAAACTAAAAAAAAAGAAGCTATAAGTATGAGAATTTTTATTTTCTAAAATATTTTTATTATCTCTGTTTTAACAGAAACTATAAATTAATTTTTCTTAAATACAAAAAAATGATATTTCTATTAAATTTTTATAAAAAATGACAATTCTTTTTGAGATATAAAAAAAGCATAAAAAAAAAAAAAAAATGAAGAACATTATTTTTATAATGAAATGTGTTTATATATTTATAGTATTTTTTTCAACATTTAACATTTTATATTTATTAACTTTTTTTTTAATGTAATTAAAATATTTATAGTTTTAAAGAAAGAAAAAATGTATATAAATAGATATATATATATATATAAATAAATATCGTAATGAGATATATTTTTTCAAATATATTAGAAAATAAAAAAAAAAATTTGCTTTTTGTGAATCGCTAATATTATATAAGACATATATTTTTTACATATTCATTTTCCGATACATGTAAAGATAATATATTTTTATGATAAAGTATTTTAAAACAGTTTACTTTTAAAAAATTAATTTTTAAAAAAAAACATACATTTAAAAAAATATTTTTTAAAAAAAATAACTAATGTAAATGGAAGAAGATAATATATATTAAAAGAAAAAAAAAAAAAAATAAAATAAAAATTCATTTTAAAGGAAAAATATAATTTTACAAATAAAATCATACAATTTTTTGTAAATATATTCTACACATTTTTTCATTATTATTATTATAATTTTTTTTTAATCATTTTACAAATATTATATTGTAAAGATAATACACTTTTTAACAAATGTAAAAATATTCTTTTTGAAAAAGAAATCATTAGAAAATAATTGTTAAAAAAAAAAAAAAAATTGAATGAAATTAATAATATTTCAAAGTTCTGTCTGAATATAATTAGCTTTATGGAATAGTAAATAAATGTTCACATATATGTGACTTTATTTTAGAAATAAAAATTTTTAAATATCAAACTTTATTTTCAAAGAGTTTTTTTTTAAATAAAAATTTAACAAATATTTATCTTTTTGTGAATAGCGATGAAGGTAGTATTTATAATATTTAAAATAATGTGTAATAAATAAATATATATTAGTATTTTTTTTAATATATGTTTTTATATATTTAAAAATAAATATTTTTTTTTTTCAATGTATTTTGTTACCATTATTATCAGGACAAAAAAAGAGTTGAGGAAGATTTGGAATCTAATAAATATGACATTGATGAAGAGGATTTGCTTGATGATGAAGAAAGATTAAATGAAGAAGAAAGGCAAGCAGAACTAGAAGGAGAAAGTTTGTTTGAAGAGGATGAAGGTTTTATTTTTGGTGCAGAAGATGAGAAAAAAGAAATACAAAAATTAAGAAATTTAGGTTTAGATAATGATGAATATGATGATGATTTTATTGATGATGAAGTTGATTATGAAGATAACATGAAAGCAAGAAGAGCAGCAGAAAGGCATATACAAATGCAAAGAAAACAAGAAGGGAGATATGAAAAAAATAAATTTTGGAAAACATTAGAAGATCAATTAGAAGGAGATGATGAAGAAGAAGACATATTTGATAAAGTAGCAGAAAAAGTTGCAAAGAGAAGAGAAAATATACACTTATCTGCAGAAGAGACAGATATCCCGGATTTGTCCAATTTAGAAAGTGCAAAAGTATGTTTGTCCGTTAACCCTAAAGATGTAATATTTGATGAAAGGTATCAACAAGCAGCAGATACATGTTTTCGCTATTTTTTACATAAATTTTCTTTAAAAGATTCAATGGGTCTCAATATTGACCATTCAGATGTAGATGACAATGAAGATGAAAATATGAGTAGTTCTCATCAATATTATATAGATAAAATAGAAAAAATGATATTAAATGATAAACATATTTTAATTGTATCAGCAAAACATTTAATTCAATTTCATTGTGAAAATTTAGTTCAATGGATAGAGTTTAAACCAGAGCAAATATTAGAAGTAATGCATGAATGTTTAATGGTAGAAGCATATAGAATATCTCCTAAATTATATAAAGGAAGAATATGTAAAGTTGTTTTAAGAGATTGGCCTTATTCAACTCAATTAAGAAATTTAAGATGCACTGAGCTAAATACCTTAATTAAAGTAACAGGAGTATGTATAAAAAGAGGCTATGTGTTACCAAAATTAAGAGTTATGTATTTAAAATGTAATTCATGTGAGACCACATTATCAGAAGTGCCTATTTACTTTGCTGACGGAAAAAAACCAGTATTACCAAGAAGATGTCCTCATTGTCAATCAGCCACCTTTTCAGTTGATAGAGTTAAAACAGCTTATACTGATTTTCAAAAAATTACTTTACAAGAATCTCCATCTTCTGTTCCAGCAGGTAGAGCTCCTAGGCAAAGAGAAGTTATTGTTACAGGAGATTTAGTAGATAAAGTTAAACCAGGAGAAGAAGTAGAAGTATTAGGAATATATAAAACAAAATATGATGTTGGATTAAATATAAAATATGGATTCCCTATTTTACAAACAGAAATTGAAGCCAATAATATAGAGAGAAAAGAAGACATTCAATTAAGTGAATTAACCGAAGATGATATTAAAGATATTTTAAAATTATCAAAAGATCCAAATATAAGAGAGAGAATTATTACATCTATTGCACCCGCTATTTGGGGACATAAAGATATTAAAACCTCTATTGCTTATGCATTATTTGGTGGAGTACAAAAAGGAGGAGATAAAAGTCATTCGAAAAATAATGAATCCAATGATTTCGGTATACAGAATAGAGATATTTTAAATAACTTTAAAGGAGGACATACTATTAGGGGAGATATAAATGTATTATTATTAGGGGATCCAGGATTAGGGAAGTCTCAAGTATTGCAATATGTTCATAAAACTAATTTAAGAACTGTTTATACTACTGGTAAAGGTGCTTCAGCTGTTGGTTTAACTGCTGGTGTACGAAAAGATCATACGACAAATGAATGGACTTTAGAAGGAGGTGCATTAGTTTTAGCAGACGAAGGAATCTGCATTATTGACGAATTTGATAAAATGACAGATAAAGATAGAGTTAGTATACATGAAGCAATGGAACAACAATCTATTTCAATTTCTAAAGCAGGTATTGTTACAACATTAAGAGCTAGATGTGCTGTTATTGCAGCTGCGAATCCAATTTATGGTAGATATGATCCTACGTTAACCTTTAAAGAGAATGTGGATTTATCAGATCCTATTTTAAGTAGATTTGATTTAATCACTGTTTTAAGGGATATACCTAATGTGGATGAAGATTTTTATTTAGCTGAATATGTTGTTACAAATCATCAGTTGAGTCATCCTAAATTAGAAAATACTCAAAATTATCAAAAAAGAATTGAGAACTTAAAAAATGTAATTGTTTCCTCTTCCGCTTACGAACCAATTCCTCAAGACTTATTACAAAAATATATTATTTATGCTAGAACAAATTGTAAACCTAGTTTATCAGATGTACCATATGCAGAAATTAGCGCTAAGTTATCTAATTTTTATAGTAGAGTAAGGCAAAAAGCTAGTGCATCAGGTGGTTATCCATTAACTTTGAGGCACATTGAAAGCATTATAAGAATTGCAGAAGCTAATGCTAAAATGAGATTGTCTCAGCAAATTGTTTCTAAAGATGTCGATTATGCTATAGCAACTTTATTAGAATCATATGTTTCCTGCCAAAGATTTGCCGTTGCTAAACAGTTAAGTAAAGAATTTGCGAGATATCGTGCTTTATTTAGAGGAGGACATGAAGTTTTATGTGAATTAGTTAGAAGGACTATACAGCAAATCATTCAAAGAGAAAACCTAAAAAATGCATCTGCTAAGGATTTTCAAAACGATATAGAATCAGGTACTGAAAATGAAACTGAATTTTTAAACCCAAATAATGTTTTTCTTCCTCTAAATATTTTTATGAAAACAGCTATGCAGAACAAATTTTCTGAATACCAAATTGTTAATTGGATGAAATCCAAAGTTTTTAATGAGCATTATGCAGTAATTAAAAGAGATGGTGTAGAAGGAATAATAAGTAAAAAGTTTAAATTATAACATACAGATATATGTAATATGGAGAAAAATGATACTTAATAAATTTAGTGAATTTAAAAAAAAAAAATTATATATTTATCCATTAATAGGACAGTACTAGCTTCTTAAAATATTAATGATGAATAAATATTATATTTTTTAAAATTTGTTTTATATATGTATATATTTTTTTTTTTTTTTAAATATTTTTTTCAAAACAAAAATTTTTTTAAAAAAATATCTAAGTTATTTTTAAAGTCAATAAGAGAAACATATTTTTAAGTTACATCTTGTAAACAGAAGATTTTCATAATTTTTTTTTTTTTTTTTTTATTATACTTTTTAAGCCATAATTAAAACAGTTATGTCTATAAAAATACATTTTTTTTTTCTTTTTTTTTTTTATAGACAATTATAAATTATTTAAAATAGTAATCTGAAAAAGACTTTTATATATATTTAATATCATTCATATTTTTAAAATTTCTACTGATTTATATTTAAATATTATATCAAAAGTTCTTTTATTATTAGTAAAAATCGTATTGTTATACTTAACAATGTAATTTAATAATTTTTTTTTTGTAAAAAATATATTTTATATTAATATTCATAATTTTTCTATCCTTATAAAATTATATAATAATATTAACAAAAAAAAAAAAAAAAAATAAAATAAAAAAAAAGTATATTTTTTTTGTAAGACCTATTGTTTTCCTTACCATTTATATGGAACGAATTTTTCTTTAAAATTTTTTAAGTGTAATGTTGCTTTCATTTTTTCTAAAAAAGATATTGTATTTGAATTATTTCTCTCAGGTGCTTCCACTGATCCAATTATAGAATCATTAACATTATATTTATCTAAATGTTCTTTTGTAATTACATATTTATTATCCTATTAATATAAAAAAAAAAAATATTTTAATAAATAATTATATTTTTCTATTTTATTTTATTTATCTAACTTCTATGACTATATGTGGCCCATCAGGTCTATTACATTCTCGGAAAAGAACAAATTCTTTAGCACATGATGAAGGATCAGGTGACCTATTAAAATTTATAGATAAAAGGATTGATATGCTTATTATATAATATATCAACATTATTTCTTTTATATATAAAGTCTTAAAAACAAAAAATTTAATGTTTTTTTAAATAAATATTTCACTAGCATTAAGATACCTTGAACAATTCATAAGATTATTAATTTCATCTATACAATAAGATTCCCCTGTCCTTTTGAAAAAAAAAAAAAAATAAAATAAAATAAAATAAAGGAAACAATTTATTAATACAAATAATTTTCATCATATATATATATAATTTTATCATTATTTTACAAAATATTTAATGCTTCTTTCTTTTTCAATTAATAATATGTATTTAAACTTTTTTTAATATTTTTATTTGTTATATATAATTATTATTAAGTTACTTCTTGGAGCATCCCCTTAGTTCATCTTCTATAATTTTACACTTTTTAGGGTTTCTCTTGCTATTATTTAAACAAGTATAGTATTTTAATTTTATTTCATCACATTTTTCATTCATTTTATAAAAATGTAATTATTTATTATTATTTATCTAATCAAAATAATTTTATTGTTTTTAAAAAATTTTATAAATACTATTTTTTTGGTTTTTTATATNATTCAATTCGTTATACATGTAGTGGAAAAATAAGAAAAGACTACAATATTTTTTTTATATTTACTTAA